ATTTTATGCTTTGATCTCTCTTTTCCCTTTCTTTCCCTCTTTTTCTGGAAAACACATCTCTCCAATATTGCATTGCAACTGGTTGGCTCTTGGGCTCTACTTTTACTAGTTGTATGATTGGGCCATTTATTCCACTTTGTAAGTTTTAGTTTCTTCCTAGGCAAAATGAAAGTGATATCATTTATGGATCACCATTGTTAGAAAAATAAATTGAGTTGAAGTTTTGTAAAATCTTGAGCAGAAGCCATGGCAGATAATAAATAAATAAAATTTCCTGCCCCATACCCAAAATAAAGAAATAAAAAATAAAATAAAATCCTGCCTTCTCTACCTAGGCCCCTTTACCTTCCCCTGCTTTTATCAGAAAGGAGCTTCAATTTCCTGCTTAAAACTAGAAACTTTCCTACATAGCCTTTCTCACCACCCTAATTTGCTTTGCAGGCCTATTTCTTCTGCCTTCCTAAGGGCAACATTTTTTTTTCCCTTCTCTAGTTATCTTCTTTCTTTCCTTTAACTTCAAGTTCTCTTGCTCATCAAGTCTTCTCTGATCAGATCCAGATTTAACATACTCAAGGCTGTCTTAAAAAAACAAACAGTAAAACTGTTTCCTGACCTTATGTTTCCTTTTAGTATTGTTGTTCAATCTCTCTGATTCCCTGCCTGCCAAATCTCTTTCAGGAAACATCTGAATGAACTGTTTCCACTCTGTGCTCTCATTCACCTCTGAACTTAACTACTATATGGCCAGGGCTCATCACACTGTTCACCACCACTGTTCTTACCCACGTCACTGACTCTGTGACTCCTCTCAGACCTATCAGGTTTGACCTCTGGGCAGAATTGGACACAATCTCCCTTCTTGTCCCTTCTTTCTTCTTGCAGTATTATCTCCCTGGCCTTCTGTAGTATTGAGCAGTCCTTCCATCTTTCTGGCTCTTTTATAGGCTGCTTGATGTATTTTTTTTTAGCAATTAATCTGTTTATAGGCACCTTGGCTGCTTCTGTATATAGGCTATTATGAATAGCCCCACAATAAACATAGGCATGCAAATATTTCTTTTGTATTTTTAAATCTATTTTATTACTATTAAACATTTGTGTTTCTAAAGTATTTGTAATTACTCAATAAACTCCCTTAATTCTAGCCTTTGTGTATGTAGTTCTCTCTTCCTGAATTCTCTTCTCCATATACCCCTTCCTTCTTTCGCAGAGCTTCCTTATCCTCCCCTTCCTTTCACTATGCACAAGTCTCTTCCTACTGCAGGTCTTCCTTCTCTTTTGAGAGGGGCCTCTGACCCCCCTCAAGATCCTTTTGTAGCCGCTTGTATTTTACTTATCATATAACTTACCATAATATGTCAGAATCGCCATAATTATGCTTTCTTGGCTCAAACTGCCATTTGATGGCAAGTGCCATGTGATTGCCTAGCAGAATACCTGTGTTATCCAAGTGATTAATGAATGAATGAGTTAGTGGAATGGCATTGTCACTACTTTGGATCAGGAGAAGAGTATACCTTATCTTAAGGTTTCCTGCTACAAGTTATTATTGTGTGAGATCAGGTAAGTTGCTTTTTTCAACATCAACTTTCTCCTCTGTAATGGGAAGGAGGAAAGCCACATTCCTGGGGAGGACTTTGCAGGTATAATCTCTTTTAATTCCCACAAAGCCCTACCAAAGCTGGAGCCTAGAAG